AGTTCTAACACACTATCAAGTGTTCCACTATAAACACACACGTCCGTATCAGGCACGAGCAGCATGAACAACAGAAAAGAAATGAAATCTCCCAGCCCCATACTAGAGGTGGGAAAGGTACCCAGGCTCGATGTTCACAGGCAAGGCGTCCGCGGGAAAAATCTCTGTACCTTCCACCCAATCTGCTGTGAAACTGAAAACACTCTGAAAAATAAAACCTATGCAAGAGAGAGTGGTCTAGAATGATAACAAATGAAAAAAAAAGAAATGAAATTTTAGAAAGAATTGTAAACAGTGCTTACAACCACCAAAGTGCAGAAAGGTGTTAAAATTATTCTGCCATTACTTTAAAAAAGCAATGTTAAAACAAAAGGAGGAAGAAGGATTCATTCATTTATTCAATAAATATTTATCAGACTCCTACTACATGAGTCAGGCATTGTTTCCCGGCCAGTGGGAGGTCACTCTTCCACTGCTGCTCTCGGGAGCTCATTCCACAGCCGGTTGCCACAGTCAGCACGGTGCTGAGTGCACGGTGCATGCCCGGCGTTGTCCTAAAAGCACGGGTTTAAAAACAACCTACGTGCAGTCGACACAGCTGGTTTTTTACTAAGTTAACCAATCTGCCTTGTTCAGGTCTCTCTGTTCACTTTTTCTTTTCTTTTCATTGATTCCAAAGAGAGGGGAAGGGAGGGAGAAAGAGAGGGAAACACCGATGTGTTTGAGCTGCCTCTCACACGCCCCCTACTGGGGACTAAGCCCGCAACCAGGGCATGTGCCCTGACAGGGAATCAAACCAGCGACCTTTCGGCCTGCAGGACCTCGCCCAACCAACTGAGCCATCCTGGCCAAGGCTCTCTGTTTATTTTCTTGCTTTTAGTATTTTGGGCTCCTCTGTTTCTTATTAGCGCCAAGAGAAAGAAAGAAAGATGGCAGTGAGGACACTTGGAAACAAAAGCAGCTTCTGTCACCCAGTAATTTGCTACCTGTAAAGATTAGCATAGTTATGAGGAAAGCTAAGATTTCCAATGGATTTATTCTCGCTTCACAGTAATGATCAAGCTAATAAAAAGCTGAACTGATACTTTCATAACTTGTCACTTCTTTCTAATAAGTAGGTAAGAAAGAAAGAAAGAAAAAATGTCAAATGTAAGAAACTCTTGCTTTGCCATTTCTCAATGACCAGTCACAACTTCAGTAACTCAGTGTGACCTAATTTGCCCTGTTATCTTTACTTTTAGAACAAAGTCTTGAGTAAATTCATTTTGTTCTTCTTACAAACAAATGTAAATCTCTCTTTCGACTCTGATGTTATAGGCTGGAGTTAAGACCTACTTTGTACATCTTTACCAAAATAAGTCAACATCCTTCAATGTATATACTGTAACTTCGATTCTGATGGGTGTCTTGCATGTAGTAGCTGCTCAATAAGAATTCTAACGCTTCATTACATGGCAAGGTTATGAATAGTTCTACAGAAACAATTTTATTGTAACCCAATCCCTTTGAAACAGCCATTTATACTTTGACCTGACACAAAATAGAAAGCTACAATTTAAATACAAACTAAGCCAATATGCCCTGGCTGGTGCAGCTCAGTGAGTGGATCAAGTGTTGGCCTGCGAACCAAAGGGTCGCTGGTTCCATTACCAGTCAGGGCACCCGCCTGGGTTGTGGGCCAGGTCTCCAGTAGGGGGCGCACGAAAGGCAACCACATACTAATGTTTCTCTCTCCTTCCCTTCCCCCCTCAAAAAATAAATAAATAAAAATATTTAAATACAAACTAAGCCAATAAAGTCATTACAAATTACGGGTTTTGAGTCCATTTTTATAGTTGTATGATAACTTCCTGGCATTTCTAAAAATTTCCTAGAACATGAAAGTTTACTCCTATATGAGTGTTAAAAGAGAGTGAGGAAGGTTTTACTCCCCGAACAAAGCAGGATGTGGGTAGAGAGTAAGCCTTTCGTGTAAAGTGCACATTAGAAACCTGTAGTTTTGAAGCGTCTATATGTCATTTCAGAGACAGCTTACGGGACCAAAAGCAGACCTAAGATTGAAGTTCTCCACAGGATGTAATAATACACAGTCAGTCGTGTTATGTTCACCTGGGGAGATACAAGATTTGTTTCTTAACTCTATATGGACTTGGAGAAAAGTCCTAAAATGTGCGGACACCGGAAGCTATGTGGGAAGGTCTTTGAGAGCTGCAACCACCTGGTACAATCACTCAGGGCACCCAAACCACAGCTCCATCTCTCCCCATCTAGAAGCGTGACTCGGCCCAGTGGGGCTCGAGCGCCCGTCATTATCTCACCACGCATGCGCATATCCCAAAGCCACAGTCCTTGCAAACCCGTCCATCGCTGCCCTGGGCTGGGCTGCCCCGCCCTGCACGCTGCAGAACTGGAGTTTATTTTTCAGAACCCTTCACGAGTCCTCTTTTTATTTAATTTTCAAATCTAATAAAATAAGGCAACTGAAAATAGACATTTGGTTGCCTTCATACTTCTTTGCATTTCATCTTAAAACTCAGATTTTGCACTTCGCTGATTAAGGCAAATAAACGTGTTATTCCTTTCCCTCTGTGAAACTCGAAGCCGCTCCAGGGCAAAAGCCTACACTCCAACAACGAACATCCTTAGGAAAACAACAACAGCTCTTCCCTGACACACACTTGTGCGTACACAACTGCTAACCGACTCACTCTTCCTCAGGAACTCACCAAGCAGAAAGCAATGCCAAGCACTTCTCAAACCGGCCTCCTTAAAAATCTGTTCCAGTTCGTTTTATTGTAGAAAAGCTCAAGCACAAAAACAGTCGGAAGCACAGTGTCATGCGCCCTCCTGTCCCCATCACCTGGCTTCGACAACAGCCCCGTCACTCCTGACTGCTTCTCTTCCTTAATAATTTATTTGTTTGGTCGTTTTTTAGGGAGAGAGGAAGGGAGGGAGCGAGAGAGGGGGAGAAACATCCACTGGTTGCCTCTCGTGCGCCCCCTACGGGACCAAACCTGGACCAAACCTGCAGCTTGTGCCTGAGCCCTGACCCGGGATATAACAAGATGTCCTGTCGCTTCGCGGGAGGGCCGCCCAGCCAGCTGAGCCACACCAGTCAGGGCAGGACACCTTTCTTCCATCGACGTGCCCACCAGCTACCACCCCAGATTCTTCTGAAGCAAATCCAAGACTCCGCATCGTTCACATATATTCCAGTTCCAATGTATGTTCCACAGCTCCTTCCCATCCCTCCACTGCACCAGCCACAAGTGTACAGAATAACGTAGGCAACTGGGCCTGGTTTATCATTTCCCTTCTCCTGGCCACTCTCCTGCCTGGATCACCTTCTGTGGCATTCACCAACGACACAGAGAGAGGAATACCCCCTGTGTTCAGTCCCTTTAACCAGAGCCTATTTAGCTCAGAAATATACTGTAGTTTCCCCCCCAGAATGCCTTTTTCTTGTTTAAACAAGTGGGGGGGGGAACTGTGCCAAATTTTCCATTCTCTTAATAAAATTACTTCTGATTTGTTCCCCCTCCCCCAGCTAAGCTGAAGAAAGCCAAAGGGAGTGGGGCAGGGAGAGAAGAGGAAAGAAATACATTTAAAACGGTAGATTCTGCCTAATTAGGTGTGAGCAAATATTTTAAACCATCTGTTATTTTATTTTAAAGAGGAATATTTGTAAACATCAGCCAAAAATCTTGGGTTCCTTTAGACAGAGGATGTTTATTAAATGGCTTATCTTAATTTAAAAGGGCCATTGCATTCAGGATTTTGGTTAATAACAGTAGGTGCTTCTGAGTCTAAGAAATGGTTATGTAAGAACAATTTTAAAAAATAATAAGGGAGGATGCGCTCTGTTTCCATAGCTCTACTCTTGTTTTATTTCGAGGTGAGCCTTCCTGGCCTCAGCTCAGAGAGCAGCCAACACCCCACACTTGCCCACTCCACACCCTTTCCAAAAGGAATTCCGAAAAGAGGCACTTTCGAGTTCACCATGGGAAATGTCTCGTCTGGAGGACGGTTCGGTGCCATAATTGAGATTTCCTCCACTCCTCCCGCCGGACCCTGCCCTGCCCATCCCTCGCTCAGTGACCTCCCCAGGAATCCACAGGAAGGCAGGACCGCAAGCTGCATCCCACCCCCCACAGCCTGCGCTCCCGGGGTGGCCTGTGCGCTGCCCGGCATTCCCTGTTCGCCCTGGTGCTGGACGCAGGCTTCCCGACACCATGCCGCTGGTTCACCCACCGCTCCCCCAGGCAAAGATCCCGGCGGGGCGCCCCTCGCCTCCAGCCTTCCCCATTTTCAACTGTGTCCTCTGAGCAGTTGAAGAATTATTACCCGCGAATGCCTCTTCCTGAAGGTGATCCCCCCGAACTTTCCCCTCCAGGCCAAACGCCGCAGTCCCCGCATCAAAATCAGGATGTGAGCTTCCCACCGAAAGCGATACAATTGCGCCCCAAACCGCCACAGGTCAGAAAGTCCTCGCCTCTAGAGGGAAGTCGCCACTTTCGGACCCCGCGCCCCCAAACCCAAGCTGTGGGACCCGGCCCCGCCGGGTCTGCCCCGCCCCCGGGAGCAGAGCCCGCTCGGCCGCACCTCCGCGCGCAGAGAGCAGCCCCAGGAACTCGGGAATGCGCGCCCTAATACATAACCAGGTCCCCCAAAGCCGAGGGCTTCCACGCCCCCATCGAAGCCAGTTCGCGGCGCCTCGGTTACTCACCCCGAGGGATTGAGGTTCTTCTCTGCCAACACCGCTGGCCTCCGGCCGCCTGGGGGACCCAGACCCGCGCCCCTCGCCTCGGAAGGGTGAATCCGGCTCGCACCTCCTGCTCCGGCCAAGGCCCGCGAGGGGCACGGGACCCGCGCCTACCTCGGGCCGCGGGGACCCTGACCCGCGCGCCATCGCCTCCACCCCAGCAGCCCGGCCCGCGTTCCCTGCCCAGGCGCGCCAGGCACCTTCCCCCGCAGCCCCGCGGGCCCAGCCCCTCACTTACCCAGAGCTCCGTACCCCAGCTCATGGTGCAGGGGGCGGGAAGGGGCGCGCCGCGCGGCGGGCGCGGCTCTCCGGTCCCCCTCCCTGGCGATCCTTTCACCCTTCGGGATCCCCGCGATCGAGGAGAGCCCAGGCCCGCACTGCGGCCGCCTCCTCCGGCTCGCCGCCGCTCGCCTAGGGTCTCTTCGGCGGCTCCTCCTCCCGGTCGCTCTTCAGCAAAATGGCCCAAGGAAGCAGCAGCCCGGCAGCCGCAGCGCCCGCCAGCCCGCCCCACACCCGGAGAGCGATGGGAGGGAGCTGGGGGGCGGGACCGCACGCCGGGGGCGGGGCCAGCTGACAGCTCGCGCACGCGCCGCGGCCCGCCCTCCCCCAGGTGCCCTCCGCCCAGCAGGCGCCCGGGGGGTGCGGAAGGACGCCGAGGGAGGCGGGAGGGGTACCCACCCCCCGCCAGTATTTTTTTATTACTTAATAGCTGCCATACTGTCTGCTCTTAGGACAGCCACTCTCCTTTGAACGGAGCCGGCCCCTGTTATTACCGGTGCTCTGCCCGGCCGGAGGTTGCTCCTCTGCGCGCTGCGCCGCTGTGAGCTGCAGCACCGCGCTCTTCCCCGGCCTCCATTCGCGCCGACCTGAGTTCGCCGGGGGTGCGCCTTCCGCACCGCGCGGGGACCACGGAGGCCCAGGAGCCCTGCAGCCCTGCGCGGTGGGAGTGGGGCCCGGTACGGTGACGTCTGCACTGTGCAGACAGTGATGTCGAGGCCAGGGGCGATCGAGCAGCTGCAAGTGGCTAGGGAGGGAATCCAGGGGCGCACAACCAGTGATTTCGAATCTGTGAAACCAGTGTTTTCCAACTTGTTCGGCCAAGAAGCGCTCAGACGTGAAATCACGTTGCCGCTTAGTGGATAAAAACCAAGGCACTGGGTCCACAGATAAAAGTGTTTGGTTCCAATCCAGCCTCCGCACCTCCGGGCTGGGTGGCCCGGGACAAGGACTCCGCCTCCTTGGAAGCTCAGAGCCCCCGTCCGCCAAATGGAGGTAACGCATCCACCTCAGCGTTTGCTGCGGAGGATCAGGGAGATAAGCACCTGTTACCTGGCTTATGTTTGGTAAACTGAGAGCTAATTCTTAAGTAGACACTGACTCCATCTCTCTGTATTCCAGAGGCCTGTGCAAATACTCACGACGAGCTACGGAGAAATGTTGGAGTTTCAACTCTGTCCTCCGAATCACTAGGCCCTTTCTCCTCACTTAATACTGCCGACTTTTCTGAGTAACTGTGGGCTCCTAAAGTGGGTCCCATTTCAGAAGTATTTCGTGATGCACCTCGCCAGTGCCTACTGCGACCACCCCCAACCCGGCCAGCGGCAACCGATGTATGGTTCTCCGCCATGAAAGGGTGGAGCTGAAAAACGCTCGCAGATAAACCTCCTGGTCTACTTCCTTTGTTGGACAGTTAGGATAAATTTAACCTGTCAAAACTGTTGTGGTCTGTCTTTTTTCAGCTTTCTGCCACCGGCTCATTTTTACCGTGTGTTTAAATGTTTTGCTCTCATAGTTACCAGGTCTGGGAACTCTTTACTCCAGAGACTCCGAGATATTAAACAATCAGAACTACCTACCTCCCAAAGCAGATTAATAGCCAGGGTGAGTAGAACAGGTAAGAAATTCAAACAATGCACAGGAAGAAACTGCAAGTGAAAAGCAGGTTATCTCGAAAGGCCCTGCCTCGGTAATCACCTTGATTTCTCTTCCTGCCAAGGCGTTGCTATTTTTTTTCAAATACAATGATCTAATCTCGACTCAGTTCTTGGAGACTTCTCAAAAACTGTGACCACTTGTGAAAATATGTTCATCAGAAGCAACCTGCTGATCTAAAGATGAGAAAGGAGAGGGGGGAAAGAGGAAGGGACAGCAGCAGTTAAAGAAAGACCACATAAAGATTAAAAAAAAAACCCTTTTAAGATGAGTAAGCAGGAAATAGTTATAGAAACCCATTAAAAGCAACAGCAGCAGAACTATATGGAATGGGACGAAAAACCTTTAACTTCATTAAGTTTGGGTAGTAACTGGAAAAGGTTTGAAAATGTCAGAATTTTTAAAAATTGTTTATTTATTTATCTTTAGAGGGGAAGGGAAGGAGAGAGGGAGAGAAATATCAATGTATGGTTGCCCCTCCTGCGACCCCTTGCTGGGAACTGGCCTGCAACCCAGGCATGTGCCCTGACTGGGAATCAAACCGTGATCCTCTGGTTCACAGGCCCGTGCTCAATCACTGAGCTACACCAGCCAGGTCTGAAAATGTCAGAATTTTTAAAAAATAAAGAAGACACCACTTACCTTGAAGCAATGGAAACAGTTTGGGATAAAGATAAATAAACCAGCAGAGAAAAAGATAAAATGAATTCAGCACAGTATTTTTTTTAGGAAGAACTGACTCTACTAATTTTTCCTACCAGTAACAAGGAGTGATTCTAAGACAAGGAATAATCACTATTAACTAATTCCTGTGAGCTGCTGTGTTTAGGAATCAGTTTCACAGGAGGTATTCTAAACCCTGTCTACGTAAACACTGGAACTACCTAGGGGTCAGTGCAGGTTATAAACACCTGTATCACTTCAGTAACATCTCCAAAGCGCTGATTTACAAAGCTAGACAATTGTGATGTGCTTTAAATTAATAAATATTTAATTCGGGGGCTTAGATGTATAGATGTCTGTATCTTTCTCTAGCTTTTCTCGCTTTTAAAGGAGGTAGGTTTTGTCATTGTTAAATTGGGGTCCTAAGGTTCCACTACTATTTAGGTACATGGCCTTTGGCAACTTGTTTAAACCCTCTGAACCTCAGTTTCCCTATTCATAACACGGGGGCCTCACAGATTGTCATGAGGCTGAAATGAGGAAGTGGAGGAGGAGCACCAGCTTCGTGTCACTCAGATCTGGATAGCTCTGGAGTGCTCTGCTGGAGTTATTTTCCTACTTACGCTAAGCCTGTTTCCTCTGAGAATGGAAATAATGCTACTCACATCAAAGGTTACTGCAAAAGTGAAAAGAAAAAAAAAGTGTACGATGCTTAGCACAGAGAGCACAAGTATTTGGTTCTCTTTCCTTTCCTCTTGCCGTCTGGAGAATTTGTGCTTATTGTAGCAAGGAAATCCATCCTTTAAGCACTTTTTAAAATTTTTAAAAATTTATCTTTAGAAGGGAAGGAAGGAAAGGAGAGAAATTCAATGTGTGGTTGCCTCTCGTGAGTCCCCTGCTGGGAACTGGCCTGCAACCCAGGCATGTGCCCTGACTGGGAATATGAACCATGATTGTGTGGTTTGCGGGCCCACGCTCAGTCCACTGAGCTATGCCAGCCAGGGCTCTTTAAGCACTTTTGATGCATCAAGACAGCTTGCCTGAACTACGATTGATTGGCCGTCTATTGGTGAGGTACTATTCCTTTTGAAATGCTCAGGATTTTTTGAAAAAATAGCTTCCACATCAGTTTCAGTTTGAAATTCCCCATTCGTTCAGCATTCAAACTACCTACTTACAAAGGACCCAAGAAAGCAGTCAAGTGCAAAGAGTTGGACTGGGATAAAAGTGGGGACTCGATGGGGGAGGATTTTGAAACTGCAACCAAGGCCCAGTGGGTAGTGCATTAGTCTCATAAAACTGCAACCAGTCTTTGCACCTGATTGTGGAATTCCCCAGAAGGTGTATAAAGATGTGCGCAAAAGCAGGAACTAGCTGCCCTATGGCCAAGTAAGTCACACACCGCGCCACCAAGAATAGAAATGAATTGGAAGTTTTCCCTCAACCCACAGGATTCGAGATGTGTCAGAGTCTCACTTCTCCGTGAAGCTGAACCTCTGCAAGAAAATACCATGGGCTTCCCCCGGGCCCCAGGAAATGACGTTTCTAGTCAAAGAATGAAAGTGACATCTAATTTCTAAATGTACTGCCAGGCTCCAATTTGATCCCCAGTCCCCTGTACTCCTTATAGAGGTTTTGGGTCTGAAATAGCAACTCTTTTGATGAGAAAGCGAGTGACAATTATACCTTATTACAACTGGGGAATATTAGCCCATTAATTATGTAAAAGATTTCTGGAAATTTCTAAACTGATGCCAAATATTAATGACATTAACATTACCAAATTACAAATTCTCCTACTAGAGGCAAACTTGGGGGGTCCTGCAAAGTTAGAGGAAACAGAAAAAAATAAACGCACTTGACTAAGAGAAGCAGGCTAAAAGTCAGGTTTAGGAGATCAGTTTTTCCAGCGCCTCCAGGCCTTTTTGGTCAACACCGTGCAGTTTAAGGCCTTTGGAAAGGTTGCCAGGGAGAAGCAGGCATAACTTGTCCTGTTACTCAATGTGTCTGTTTCCAGTTACAGTATCATGAGTATGCAAATAGCCTTTTCTTGAAACTCTGAAATCAGGTACATAAATTGCCAACATAGCAGTTTTCACACAATTCAAAAACTGTCTGAAAACTACTTCAGTTTAACTTTTTGTATGGCGTGCACTTTTTTATTTCTCGCGACTCCAAAGTAGTGACTGGCACGATTCACTTCTCAAATACCTGAAGGAAGTTATTCCTCCTAAATCTCTGGGCAGATGCCACTGGGGTTTAACCCTGTAAAGGTTACATGACATTTCCAAGTGAAAAGAAGAAATAAGAACCAGCGTTAAGCCCTTTAAAGTTGTTTTCCAGAAACTAAAACACAGAATTCTATTTTATAAATTATTTGAATGTTTGGTAGTTATATTAAATGAAATGAAAACTATTCCCAATCTTTCCCCATTTTTAAAAGCATATTGCTTTCAAATTTAAACAAGAGATTCTCAAAAATGCCACCTCACAGTGCTTCAAACAGTACTTCAAAGCCTTGAAAACTGCCTTTATTTTTATTTTTTTAATGAACATCCTTCTCTTGTCCCTGATTTTATTTATTTGTTTAAGATTTTATTTTTTATTTATATTTAGAGAGAGAGGGTAAGGGAAGGAGAGAAACATCAATGTGTGGTTGCCTCTCATGTGCCCCCAAGTGGGGACTTAGCCTGCAACCCAGGCATGTGTCCTGACTGGGAATCGAACCAGTGACACTTTGGTTAGCAGCCTGCGCTCAATCCACTGAGCTATGCCAGCCAGGGCTGAAAACTGCCTTTAAAAGTGAAACTGCATTTAAAAGTCACCTTTCCCTTTAACAACTAGTTTTATACTGCAGAATACTGAGAATCGGTATTTTATACTTAGAATCGGTTAACTGTCTTTGGTATTTCTCTTGATACCCAAAAGAAAATACCACTTATTGTATACTCCAAGTATGTTCTTTCAATTTGATGATTTTAAAAATGCTTTCTCAAAATTTCTCTAGCAATTCATTTGATAACACATTAGTTACTCAGATTCTGGGCTTCACTTTTTGAAATAAATTAATATTATAAAAATTAGAAAGCCACATAGAGTGTGAGAAGCACAGATCCAATTCTCAAGCAGATAAGTTTGCAGTTCTGGTTCTAAATGTGCCCACTGAAGACTGTGCTATGGAATGGTTGGTCCTGAGCAAGTCATTTCAGTTCCTTGGTTTTGTTTTTTTATCTGTTGGTTATCTAAGGACCCTTCCAGCCTAATATGCAAATGCAGGTTTTTTTACAACTAGATAGGACAGATTAAATGCTGGGCTTTGTGGATGGGAGCTGGGTCATTGAGAAACCAGTATCCCACCCCTGAATAAATTAATCTAACCAAGTCTCATCTTTAAAAAAGGGTAACAAGTAAATACCTTATGAGGTTTTTTGTGATATTAAATGAGATAATGTATATATAAAGTACTTAGACTATTTGGCACATTTAATTGCTCAATAAATATATTTATGATTATTTATGCTGTGTGGACTCACAAAATAATAGCTTTATTTGTAAAATGGGGTAGTAAGATCAGATGACAATTCTGTTTAAAGATGTAAGATTACATATGAGTAATATTGGTCAAAGATCAGAGGTTGGAGAAAGAAGGGATATTCTCCACCACCCAGTCAACATTGCCATTCTGTCTTCCTGGAGTGGCCTTAGAGCCTACTTTTGTCCTTGCAGAGTGTGTAACAGGGCTTGTATATTACTGATGTGGTTGTTGTTGTTGTTTTAATGTGGCTGTTCTTTAAAGATTTTATTTACTTAAAGAGAGGGAAAAGGAGGGAGAAAGAGAGGGAGAGAAATATTAACATGCAAGAGATACATCCATTAGTTGCCTCTTGCACGCCCCCAACTGGGGAACCTGGCCCACAACTCAGGCATGTGCCCTGACTGGGAATTGAACCAGTGACCTTTTAGTTCACAGGCCAGTGCTCAGTCCAGAGCTACACCAGCCAGGGCTTGCTTCTCTTTCCTCTTAACTCAAGGGAAGAATTAATAGATTCACAACAGTATTAGTAAGATTGCACACAGCTAAAAATTATCTAGGATCTTCCCTTTCTCCCACCCTCCACCCCTGTATTTTCCCAATGATTTTTTTTTAACCTGAGTGCAGCAGTTGAACTCCATTAAAATATATCATCTTAATTTCAGTTTCTAGTTCCAGCTAAAAAACTTTAAGGATCTGATTCTGTCATGAAATACACTTGTACACTCACAATCACTCAGTATTGGAATTTCTGGTGGTTTTTACTTTCTCCTGTTTAGCTTCAATGACTTCACACAAAGAGCATGCATTACATGTGTGTGGCGTGCTGAAAAAAATCTAAAAACTAAATAAATCTGGCTAGTTTATTGGCAACTTAAATAAGCATGGTCTTCCATAGCTCCTTAATGAAAATGGTGAGGGGACGGATCAACTACTGAATCTTTTCCTTAAAGATTTCATAGCCTTGGGTGTCCCACCAGGTCTATAGCTCTGCTGGTTGTAGCGCTCCTCAGGGCGGGTCTGTCTGGGGTCAGGACACATACAAGAATTAGCCAATGAATGCGTCAAGTGGAACAAAACCGATGTTTCTTTCTTTCTAAAAATCAACAAATTAAAAAAAAAACTTTCCCCATAAATTCCACCCATGAGAAGCAAAGACAAAATGTTGACTCTAGTGGTCGGCTGAAATAGCATGAGGCAACACAGTAGCTTAAAAGATGCCATGTGGTTCCCAGCTTAACCTGAAACAAATGATTTAATTTCTGAGCCTCAGTTTGCTTACCTGTAAAGTGGGGATAATACCACCTACCTCCTACCTCATTAGATTGTTTCAAGGATTAAATGCAAAAATGCATGCAAAAGGCCTAGCCAAGTGCCTAGTAAAGGCTTAATAAATCGTATTACTGCAACAATTTCGTTTGAAATCTCAGTGTGAAGTGTCTCAAAAGAAAAAAAAAGTTCAAGGGAACTATGAGAAGCCAGGAACTTGGTATTTTCCACCGAGTCCACGCCGCTTCTGTGATCAGTTCAATCAACCGCCAGGCAAGGCGCTGCAGACGGTTTTAAGACATCCCCACCCTTTTCAGAGCCGGGGTCCCTCCCGCGTTCGGGGGTCTCACAGGCCCACTGTCGCTTTCCTAGCCCCCAGGTCGTAGGTGCTGTCCGCACTGTTTCCGTGATAGCCGCCGCAGAATTCCCACATCTGGGCGTTCCACCTGTTCTGGTTAGACCGAATGTCCGCTGAAGGGCCGAACGAAAGAGCCCCCAGCGATATTCCCAGCCGCTGGTTCAGGTAGAAAGGACACGGGAACCGCACTGTTAGCCGCTGGGACGCCCGCTTCCGCGCCCTTCCGGCGGCCGCTGCCCTTTAAACCCGGAAGTGGTTATAGGGGGAGGAAGCAGCTGGTGATGCTGGAACAAACATGGCCGCCCGGGCGCCCGTCGGCCCCTTGGGCTCCAGCTGTCCTCGGCGGGTCGCGGGCTTCTGGTTTCTTTCGCTACTGGGGTTGCTGCAGCTACTGGCGGAGCCCAGCCTGGGCCGCGTTCACCACCTGGCGCTCAAGGTAAGGCCGCCAGGCCCCGGCACGGCCGGGGGGGCGGGGGCGGAGGCCGAGGCCCCTCCCCCGGAGCTGGTGGCAACTTTAGCTCGGAGCCGGGGCCCTCTGAAAGATTGTCCCCCACTCTTTTCCCCCGGTGCGGCATCTCTGAAATAGGGGTCTGTTGGGAACTGAGGGAATGGCGGGGGTCCTCGCGCCGTCTGGAAGGGACGGCAAGATTCAAGCCGACAGAAATGAAGAAGAGAACTGCGGAGAAACTCCTAAGGACTCGGGAGGCCGCGCTTGCGATCCCTGCTGGCTTCCCCAGGTGCCTCGCTGACAGAAGCCAGCTCCTCTCCCTCCCTTCTCAGCTTCAACTTTTGCCTCCGACTTCACTGGTCCGCGGTCTCCATCCCCCTGTGCCTGGCGATTTGCGGATAACGCGAAATCTTAGCTTCAGTTTCCGGGTTCGGCTTACGGCGCTCTCTGGACAGATCTAAGTGGGGATCCCCAGGGGGAATCGCAAGTTTCGCTTCAAACACAGGAGCGAGCATTAAAATATGTGTATCTGATGAGAGGGCCTTTTAATCCTTCGCTCCCGTCATTGCCTGTCTAGGGAAGAGATTTATAATAGGCCTAGAATGATTCTTTGGTCCTAGCTTTGTAACTCCCAGCTAAAAGTCATGTAAGGCTAAAACAGGCGGTTCAGCAGGATAATATATCTGGAGAATAGAAAAAGAAATCATTACTACTCAAATACTTGTATGTGATTTTCATAATATGCAGTTGTAGAGTTTGTCTAATTAAAACTCTTAACAAACCATGAGGCATTATATTTTGGGAAAGTAGAGTTTAAAAAATACAGAATCCGCTAAGAGGCCTGGCCAGACCCGTATATGCATCATACTCCTTGGTCTGTAAATAAAAACTATCTTGGTTAAAACTGTTCTCAACTGCAGGGAGCTAGGTGAGTCTTGACTCCTCTGGAGAATCTGGTAAAAGCTGTAGGACTCCTTCCTGGAAAAGTGCAAGTAAAAGCTTAGACAAAACTTTTTGGAATTTCCAGGGCTTTATAATCCTGTGGAAGCTTGTCTGTAGGCCTTATCACCCAAGCTATGACACCAAGTTCAGAGCACCTGATCTTTAAGATTCTTCAATGTTATAGTTCAGGATCCTGAGTCTTAGATTAACTGGTAGAAAACTGAGGTCAAATAGTTCAAAAAGTAGAGACAAAGCTACTAATGGGGCATGCTGGATCCTGTCTCCTGGCTTCCAATACAGTGCTCTTTGTGTTATACATTTCTAGAATGAAAATACTGCGTGACATCATGAGGTGAATATTGACTGTTGGTATACGTAGATTGAAAGAATATAGTAACCTCAGTCGTAGAAGCAAACCGAATGGTACAGTTTTGGTGATTGATTTCTCCCTATTGTGCTAAGTTACTTAATGTTTTCAATCTCTGAAACATGTCTCTTAAGTACTCTTAAAGTAGATTCTAACTTCTTGCTCGAGCAAATGGAAATCACCTGAATAGAACTTGTGAGCATCAACATTAGGTTTTCTTGTTGTGCTTTGAGATTGAAAGAACGAGGAGACTTGATCAGGTTGCAGACCCAGAGTGGCAAGAATAACACGTAGAGAGGTCACTGCGTACCAGAAATATGCACTGGTCTTTTAAAAAACTTTTTGTCATAGAGAATTTCAAACACATACCCAAACATATACTGGTGCTTGATCCGCTGAGCCACATCAGCTAGGGCAAAATATTTTATTTACTTTTTAGAGAGAGGGGAAGGGGCAGAGAGAAACATAGATTGGTTGTCTCTCACATGCCCCCAACTGGGGAACCTGGCCCACAACCCAGGTATGTGCCCTGACTGGGAATCAAACTGGCGACCTTTTGGTTCACAGGCTAGTGCTCAATCCACTGAGCCACACCAACCAGAGCAGATACCTTACCTTTTTAAAATAACTTTATTGAGGTGTGTTTTGCACACCACAAAAATTGCCTATTTTAAGTGTGTGATTCAGTGATTGTTAGTAAAATTACTAACAATCACCACAAACCAGCCATAGAACATTTCCATCACTCCGTAAGAGACCCCTTGTGCTGGTTTAGAATTATTCCCACCCAGCTTCAGGCAACCACTAATCTACTTTCTGTCTCTATTGATTTGCCCTCTGGATATTTCATATAAATGGAATCAGAGTATGTGGACTTTTTGTGTCTGGCTCTTCTTACATATGTCTTTGAGGTTCACTCGTATCATTATGAGTAACTCATTCCTTTTAATGGCTGAGTACTATTTCATTGTGTGGATATACCACCCTTTGCTTAGCTGTTCACCAGCTGACGAACATTTGGGTTTCCATTCTTGGACCAATGACCATTCTTGGTCATTGTGAGTGGTGCTGCTGCCAACATCGAGCAGGTCTTTGTGGGGACATGTTTTCACTTTGGAGGGTGATTGCTGGGAGCGGAGCAGGATTGCTGCATTATATGGTGGGTTTATATCTCATTTTTGAGGTGTAATTGATGTATAGCATTGCATTAGTTTTAGATGTGCAGGCAGTGATTTGACATCTGCATACCTGGCACGGGGTCATCACACCAACTCTAGTCACCATCTGCAACCTAACAAAGTTAGCATTTTCTGTGCTGCATATTACATCTCTGTGTTTTTATTTTATAACTGGAAGTTTATACTTAATTCCCTTTTTCCACCATTCCTTCCTCTCTCCCGCCCCCCCCTTCCCCGCCACTCCCCACTCTACGCCAGGCAACCTGCATCTGTATCTGTGAGTCTGGGTTTCTGTTTGTGTGTTTTGCTTTTATATTTAATCATTCAATTAATTAATTTTTAGAGAGAAGGTAAGGGAGAAGAAAGAGAAGGAGAGAAACATCAGCGTGCAGTTGCCTCTCACGTGCCCCCTACTGGGGACCCGGCCCACAACCCAGGCATGTGCCCTGACTGGGAATTGAACTGGTGACCCTTTGGTTCTCAAGCAGATGCTCAATCTACTGAGCCACCCCAGCCAGGGCTGTGTATATTTAACTTTTTAATAAACTGCCGTACTGCTTTCCAAAGTGACTGTACCATTTTACATTCCCAGCAATTTATGAAGGCTCCCCCTTTTTTCCTTTTTTATCTTCACCCAAGGATATATTTATTGATATTTTTAATCCTCACTGGAAGATATGCTTATTGATTAGAGAGGGAGGGAGGGAGAGAAGCATCCATCAGTTGCCTCTTGTGCAAACCTGCAACTTGGTACATTCCCTGACTGGGAACAGAACCGTCGGCCTTTCAGTTTATGGGAGAATACTCCACCAACTGAGCCCTATCCACCAGGGCTGAATTTTTATTTATTTATTTTTTTAGAGAAAGAAGTGGGGAGAGAGAAAAACATCAGTGGGTTATCTCCAGTACATGCCCCTGACTGGAGATCAAACCTGCAACCTATATGTGTGCCCTGACTGGGAATTGAACCCACAATCTTTTGGTGCACCGGATGAGGCTCCAGCCAGCTGAGCCACCCGGTCGGGTCCGAGGGTTCCCCTTTCTGCACATTGTGCCAGTGTGCCCAGGAACTGTGGGAACGCAGGAGTCCTGAGCCCTTTAGGAGAGGATAAAGCAAGGACGGTTTCCTGTGAGAGTTAACATCTGGGTTGAAGCTTCAAAAAAGAGTTTACACGTTAGGACAGGAATTGGCCAAGAGAAGCCTACGGAGACAGTAGAATAGTCCAGTTACAGGGGACAGCCTAAACGAGGTGGCAGGAAGTCATCCATCGTGCCTGGTGTTGGATGAAGAGTGGAGGCGGCCCTGGCCGGGTAGCCCAGTTGGTTAGGTTAGAGCGTCATCCCCACACACCAAGGCCGCAGGTTGCATCTCCAGTCAGGGCACATAGTAGAACCAACCAAGAGTCGCTGTTGTCCAGCTGTGGGTAGCCCTGAAGTTTTGCAGTTTTTTTTTTTTTTTTAAGATTTTATTTATTTATTTTTAGAGAGAAGGGAAGGAAGACAGGGAGAGAAACATCGATGCATAAGAGAAATATTGATTGATTGCTTCTCGCACACCCCCAAACGGGGACCTGTCCCGTAACCCAGACATGTTCCTTGACCAGGAATTGAACCATTGACGTTTCGGTTCATAGGCTGGCACTCAATACACTGAGCCCCACCAGCCAGGGCAGATTTGCATTTTAGATAGATTTCTCTGAGAGCTCAATCGGGAGGCAAGACTGGAGGAAGCAAGGGACCAGCCAGGTTATAGACGTACATCCTAGGTGTGAGATTAGGGACCAAAGTAGGGTATTGGGGAGAAGGGAGGACAGACCTCCGGGCTATTTAGAGGGCTCATGAGGGGCAAATGTAAGGGCGAGGGAGGAGGTGACATACAGGTTGCTGGCAGAGGTTATGAAGGGGGCTGTTGGTGCCACTACCTCATAGACATAGGAGGACAGGAATAAGAGGAGCGGGATGAGCCGTTACTGTTAATGTGACTGCGGAGTTGGCGGTGGGATGTGTACTTATCCTCCGAGTGTAAATGAGTGCTCTCACCCATTTTGCAGGATGGAAAGGCAGTTCCTGTGTGATGATCCATTAGCAAGCCCGAATTACCCCTTTTTCTTGTATTAAATCCACGAGTTCTCTATGATAAACCAGATGTACATCAATTCAGATTTCATCACCATCAAACTAATGCTTATTTCCTTGTTTGGATTAGTACTTTGGAGATTATAATTATGTTAGGGCCATTCATGTTTCCACTTATTTCAGATAATATAAGCCAGCTTAGGAAAGTCAGGAAATACTACAAGTTTTTACAACCAACCATGTAAATATATACCTGGGAACAGGTCTGTATTTTATGTTCCTGTAACCTTGACTTCTCATGGATGAATAATCTTGTTTAAATAACTTGATAAGCAGTTTACTGTGATTAGGAATAGAGCATGCTATTATGGTTATTTTTTAAAGCCCTTATCAGATACATACTGAAATATTAATAGATGAAATCA